GTTCTGTGGGCATCTCCCTGTCTCTTCTAGCAAGCATGCACCCAAGTGAGGGTTTCTCCCTTCTATAGAGGGGTGAAGCCATTTACCCCAAAGCACGAGGCCCAGTGGAGCATCCTGGCATCTCATCCTCACCTTTCCCTTTCCTCGTCTGATGCTCTGAGTGCCGAGAGCCCAAACTTGTAGGAAGTGCTTTTAGGGAAGACAGTTTTCAAGCCCTTCATTTAGGGGAAGAGCTCACCCCTATGACACACTACATCTCCATAAGAAAGCTGCTGAATGCCTGAAGAAAGCCGGCTTTGTTGTGCTTTCTGCAGGCTAAGCAGTGTGGGCTTTGGGTTTCCTCTCTTGTTTTTCTCTTGAAGCCCAGCTTTCATCTCACAGTATTTATTTTTCACTGCTTGAAGGAGAAAAGAAGAAGAATTATTTTTCTTTTTCTTTCAAAAAGAAAGATATTTATTTTAAATTAAAACAGCAAATGCCTATGCCTTTTGTGCCATTCCTTGCAGAGGGAAGCAGGGCTGGTCTCTGGTGAGTTGCTGCAGGAAGAGGAACCAAATCTTGCCTTCATGCTGCCCAGTCCTGTCTCATCCCCACATCCCCAGCAAACACCTCTCCCTGTGCTCACCCCTTCTCCCCATCCACCCTTGCTTCCCAGATGTCCCTCTGTTCCCTTTTATTCAGGCTTTCTGCCCTATTTCCCCTTTCCCCCCCCTTGATTTCGCTGCCCTTCAGTCCGAGGAGCCCTAATTGGAACAGGCCGGCTCCCCTCCTGCTTCCTGCGTGGGAGTGAGAGGCAACGCTTGTGAAAACAGTTCAAAAGTGCATTGAAAGTTTTAGCCTAATCCTGCCTAAATAACAGGGGGCTCAGCCCGGGGTTCTTTGCCCGGGTGTCCCTGCTCCAGATCGGGGGGCACCTGGGAAAAGCAGTGGTGGAAACCTGAGATGGGGAGATGATGCTTCCATGGTGCCCAGGCTGCTGCCTCGGGGAGCGTGGGAAGGGTCTCGGCTGCTGGCCCCCCTCTCCACAGCATCCTCTTATCCTGAGAAAGGTTTCTCGGCTGCTGAACCCTGCTGTTGGGAATGCTTGTGTGTGTTTCGGCTTCCCCCATCGCTAGCTCTGACAGAGAAGACTTTTCTTGACTCTCTACAAATGATCTGGTTTGAAACCAATGCACATCTTCCACCAAACATGTCCTCATGTCTCTTCCAAGCCACCAAATACCAGAAATCCTCGTGATACCAGAGTACTGCAGGGTTAGTCTGAGGCCTGGGAAGGGCAGAATAAGGATGCTGTGCAGGGAGCAGGGTCTTAACCTGGGACAATAGTGGGTTCCTTGGCCTTGCTGTCGATCCATCAGAACAAGAGCAGGAGAAGGCCCCTGGCTCAGGTACACTCATTTACATGCAGGCTCCCGAGTAAAAGAGCAGGGACCAGACAAGGGCACAGCGACTGGGAAAGAAAGTGAGTGGCCGAGGGGAGCTTTAAAGAGGCATTGACCCCGAGTGGAAACTCGGGTGAAAAATGACTTTGCTCCCATCCTACTGCTTGGAGCATCTTGGTTTCTTGTTCCCTTTGCTGCCATTTGTTTTGCTTACGCAATCAGATGCTAATGCTTTGGCATGCAGTGGGGCTGCTTGAGTTTTAAGGTCAAAATCCCCGAAGTTTGTAAATCATGCTCCTTTAAAAAAGATCAGATGCATGGAAAAAGTTTATACATGTGGAGCCTGGCGAGAGCAGAGCGGGAATGTGGCTGGGAGATGAACTCGGTGATCTTGACCTCCTTGTCCATTTGGTGGCTGGTTTTCTCTCAGGCTTCACATCTCTTGGTGTAACACCTAGTAGGAGTCCGATGGTGGGGTTTGGGCATGAAACCCACATAGGGATGCAGTGCTGGCTCTTGGTACAGTCAGGGTTGTTAAAGACCCTCTTGTCTTTATGAAGTCTTATCCCCAGGGGTATTGGGGAGCTGGTGGAAGAAGAGGGTCTGGTTTTGAGAAGCCTCTGGGATCTTAGATGCAACTAAGATAAGTAGATGTCCCTCTCTGCCTTCCCCCTGTGCAAGGCAAATCATAGAATGGTTTGGGTTGAAAGGGGCCTTAAAGCTCATCCAGTTCCAGTCCCCTGCCACAGGCAGGGACAGCCCCATTGCTGTGCTTGCTTTGTGGCTTAAACCCCTGACATTTCTAAACTGAGCTTGGGTGTAACAGATGGGTTGATGCTGGCTCCTGCTCCCCCAAGTGTATTTCTCCTGTGCCCACGTGTGCGCACGCCTGCGAGCCTGTGTGTGGTTATGGACAGCAGGAGGGACACAAAAGGAGACTTTTTATTTGCGCAAGATTTGATTAAAATCTTGGAAACAGGTTTCAGATGGTGGCGAAAGCTGAAACCGGGGACCTGAGCCTGGTGGCTTTTGTTACAGAAAGGCTGCTTCACTCTGACCTTTAGGCATCCCAAACTGAAGGCTGAAAGGCTTGTCTGTGGGTGCTGGAGGACATCACCAGGGCTTAATTCTCCTCCCCAGGCAGTAACTCCCCTGTACCCAGCCAAGCTGCATCAAGCAGAGCCATCTAAAGCCCATTGTGCTCCCTGGCCCCACAGGGATTCACAAAGAAGATGATACTGAAGTAAATCCAGTAAATACTTTAAGTAAATTAAGTAAAGTCTCAAAACCAGCAGAGGCAGAATTCAGGTTAAAAACTCCATCTCTGTCATCTCTTCCAGCTCCACAAACAGTCCTGGAGGGCTTAGGAGCTTTTCTGTCTACATGGGACACTGCTGACTCAAATAAGGCTTCTGCAGGCATTTGCAGGCTTGGGGCTTTGGGGCTATTTTGTCTTCTGAAGAAATGGTAACTGGTAGCTGTGATCTAACAGGAAAAAGAGGAGATGATGTTTCAAAAGCCGGGTACAGCGTTATTTGGAGAAGCAGCCTTGAAATGGCCATTCTGGTTTATTTTGGTGTCTAAATAGAAACCCTCTTGTGGCGCTTTGTGTTTTCAACTTGAAAACAGACTGTTTGCTTCTCCGGTGACCTCTCGCTGGGAATCGCTTTTAAGTCTTCCCTGTTTTGACATGGTGTTTGTGCAGAGCTCAGCGTTCACCTTACCAAACCGAAACCTTATCCCTCGCTACTGAAAAATTGATTCACCGGCTATGTACAAACCCAACCTCAATCCTGCTGGAGAGGATGGGGGGGCCCATGAGAGGTATTTACTTGTGTCATAAGTAAACCCCACCTTGCCCTGCTGCTTGTATAAGGAGACCACCTCCATATAGGTTTTTGCGAGTGATTCAGTGTTCAAATTGGGGTTAGAAACGTTCTGTAAACCCAACTTTGACTCATCTTCCCCTAGCACCCGGGAGCAGGGAACTGCTGTTTAACCAGCCAATGGAGGGGAGCAGATTCCTGGGTGGTCCCTGTGACCACAGAGCAGGGAAAAGCAAAGCATTAAAATGTAACATGAGGATGAAGGGAAAGGGGCACTGAACCACTTTCTCCCAGTGTTATCTCGGCGTGGCAGATGGAGAACAGAGATAGCGAGGGTGGCTGCTCGTTTTTCCATGCCCTCTCCATCCAAATCCAGTAAATAATGAAGTGTAATTTGCCAAATAGCCTTTCAGTGCATTATTTGCTTTCAAAGGTCCTGATACTTCCACTGTGGCAGGCAATCCTTGATTTATGTGGTGAGGTTAGGGGGAGGAATCAGGTCCCAAGAGGCTTGGTGTTGGGAATTCTGGTACTACTGCAATTCCTTCTGTGCCTTGGTAACTAACTTTAGAGGGAGCTGTAAGTAGGGGCAGGCAGGGGGAGTTTTGCATGTCTTTTACTTGGGGACGATAGGTGGAAAGTGCAAAGATGGAGACAAAAAAGTTGCTCTGTTTGGCTTAGCAGTGGAATTGCATTTGGTGCATCCAGCTGATGGTGTTATTTGGACTTCAAATGATGCCTGTGAGTTCAGCTGGGGAGGACCTGAGTGGGGCAGGAAGCCCAGACTGGGAATCCCAGAATCCCAGACTGGTTTGGGTTGGAAGGGACCTTAAAGCTCATCCAGTTCCAACCCCCTGCCATGGGTAGGGACACCTTCCACTAGAGCAGGTTGCTCCAAGCCCCATCCAACCTGGTGATTCAGATGGAGGAGGGTTTTCCTTCAGATGTTTGCTTGTATGAAACTCTTTGGCTACAAACACCCCCCTCCTTCCACATGAATTGGAAAAAGGGGGAAAAAAAAAAAGAAAGGAAGAGCTTTGCCTTCTCATCAGGCCGTACTCCAAGGCCCGGCTCTTGGCTCCATGCTCTCCCATGGGGTGGCTCAGCGTTGTTCAGTGACTCACCCTGAAACGCATTGCTCTGTACCATGGACTGTGCATGATGTAACTCTGTGCTAATGTGGGATTTTCCAGCTCTTTGTTTTCCCTCCGTTCTCGAATGGGTTTTCTGCTGGTTCTTCTCTTGCCCCGGCCTGCTGTCAGCTTACTTTTTCCAGGGATGCTTTAAAATGAGTCTTGTCCTTTTGCTTTCCTTTGGAGTGGGATGCCCAGACGTGGAGTGGTAGCTCAGGGATGCTTTTCTTCCTGCATCCTCCTTCACACTGGTCTAGGACTCTACCTTCCCTGGTGTCTGGAACTGCTCAGCTATCCCTCAGGTTCTAGATGCTACCTTAGATGATGAAGCCCCATAGGATGATGTCTGGAAAGGTCTTTATCACTGTCAGATTTCCAGTAGCACATTCATGGTTGGATTACAGGGAGACCACGCTCACCGTCTCACCCAGCTTCAGTGGAGGCTTATTATAAGCTCAAGATTCTCCTCCTTGTGTTTCAGAAGCCTGCTCATGGGACTTGCAGCGTTTTATGTGTTGGATTAGAGCGATTTGAGTGTGAAAATTCCAGAAGAAAACAGGATTTCTTTGTCACTCTGACATATCAGTGGTCAGCACGACTCCTGTCGTCTTTCCCAGTCCCGTGTCTTTATGGCTGATTTTCTCTCCTGCCTCTTTCAGATATGGAATGTGCGGATGTGCCTTTATTAACTCCCAGCAGCAAAGAAATGATGTCTCAGGCCTTGAAAGCCACCTTCAGCGGCTTCGCCAAAGAGCAGCAGCGGCTGGGTATCCCCAAAGGTAAGACATGGTTTCCCAGTGAGCAGCCACAGAGATTGTGTCCTCCTGCCACTTACAGACTACACCTGTGTGACCGGGCCTGCCTGTCCTGTTAACTTCTGCTCCTGCACCTTTGGGAACCTGCTGCTTTGGAGGCATCTCTGTGGAGAAGCAGCAGGAGCCCTTTTAACAGAGCCTGATGACAGGCAGAAATGGAGCGAAATGGGAGGAGTGGGTGGGAGAAGGGGTGGGAGAACTGGTGGGATTTTTCAAAGTCCCAAACAAATCCAAACTCATTCCTTGTATGAAACACATCTGCGGTAGGGCTGATCCAAACCATGGGAATGATGTTCCCTCACCACGTTTTACCCTTACACCAATGCACTGCCCATCTCTGTAGGATGAGGCCGTGCAATGCAGCAGTAGCACCATCTGTATCCTGTTCTCCTGTGGAAATGACTTGTGGTTGCTCACTAATGCATCTCTCCTACCCGCTCCTTGTTGCAGATCCCCAGCAGTGGACAGAGACGCACGTGCGGGACTGGGTGATGTGGGCAGTGAATGAGTTCAGCCTGAAGGGAGTGGATTTCCAGAAGTTCTGCATGAACGGAGCTGCCCTCTGTGCCCTGGGCAAGGAATGCTTCCTGGAGCTAGCGCCTGACTTTGTGGGAGACATCCTTTGGGAACATCTGGAGATCCTGCAGAAAGGTGAGTCCTGGGGTCCCCAGGGTGAATGACACGCGCTGTCCTGGCTATAGCCCGATTTTGGGTCTTTCCAAAGACCTCGGCTCGCAGTCTGACTCCTCAGTGAGGTGTTCTCCTTGGGCTTTGATCCCAATCAAAGCAGCTTTCAAAGCCCAGCTTCCCAGTAGGATTTCAAATGGGCATCCCAACCGGTAGCAGGCAATGCAAGTCCTGGCACTGCTTGAAAGGGGAAGAGTGTTAGAGCCGGGTGCTTGGCAGGAATCCACAGTGGGCAGGGGCACTCTGCCTGCCTGGAAACAACGGTGGGATTTTCCAAAGCATTCTTCCTAGGCTCATTCAGCTCCTGTTGTGAGTTTTACTACTTCCTCCAGTAGAGCTGGGTACAACAATGCCACCAAAATCCCACCCTCATTTCCCAGCTGTGATTGGAAGCTGCTTTGCTTTGTTTCATGTCCCAAATGGTGTTTTCCCCACAGGAAAAGCCACCTCTGCCAGTCCCTGCGTGACAGCATCAAGGGCATAAATTTTCAGTGATCTAGGGGGACAGGCATCACACATGGATTTTGGGTGTTGATTTTCACACTGAGCAGCACTCAGCCTGGGATGGCTTCTAAAGAGCAGCAGAAGAGCTGAACACCTTTAACCGTGAGCCATGAGCAGGGGCAGCAGCAAATCAGGGCTCCTTTCTATTCAGAGTTATTGGCTTTCCTGGAATATCCCTTGCGCTGTCAGACCAACCCTGTGTGCTTGTCAGGAAGGGGAGGGGGGGAGCAAAGTTATGCCTTCCAGGAAACCATTGACAAATGGATGTTAATTGCCGAGTACTAATTTTACTGCTACCTGTGGTTTGCAGAAAGCAAACATGGTTCTTCCCAGGCCCTGCGTACGACAGGCTGTTACTCTGCTCTTTGACTCTGTATCTGTTCTCTTCTTCTCATTTTGCCTATTTTTTTATTGAGTGCTTGCATCAACAGCAAGCAGCTTAACTAAACAGAGCAAAATGTTGTGGTCAACCCAATTTCTCCCTGTTATGAGCCATTGCTTGGAGCGCAGCTCTACCTTCCCACAACCTTTCTTCATTTGTTTGTACCACTGGAGAGGGTGACGGAGGTATCAGAGCTGGGTTTGCAGCTCCTTCCTGCAGGTTCCCAGGGCATGGAGATGAGCTTGGAGCTGTAGTTTCATATTAAAGCAGGCATCTTGTTTCCTATCTCCATAGCAGAGGTGCTCCAGCCTTCAAAGCATCTTTGTGGCCTCCTCTGGATTCACTCAAGCAGGTCCACAAAGCGCAAAGAGATTAAGGTTTCCCCAGGCTTAACCACGGAGCCAGGGTCCAACTTGTTAACCCCAACTATTCCATCTTCCCCAGCCACCCACCATCATCACTTGGGGGCATTGCTGTTGAGACTGATGGTTAACCCCAGAATGCTTGGCTTTACCTGTAGCATCAGGTCGTGCTGGGACAGGCTGTGACCTTGCTAACACGCCTCCCTTGTGAGCACTTTCTGAGAGTGACTCATGCACCACAGGGTTTAAAAAAGGCAGCAGTTGGGTGACTTTTCCCTGCATGGATTTGGGTATTTTCAGGCCTATTTTTCCCAAATTTCTTCCTAAAATAACCTCTTCAGTTACCAGCAGTCAGCAGTGCCCTCCACTTGACTGTAAGCATAGCTGAAGGTTGCTCTCTTACTCTGTGGTCACCCACCCTGCCCCTTGGCAGGCACTGTGGGGAGTGGAGGAGAGCGTTTCTCATTAGGTCTCTGTTTGCACAAACCCTCCTTTTGTTAGGGAATATTTTCCACCCTGCAATCCCCAGGAGAGAGGGACAAAATTAGGCTCCTTGCAAGCGAACGTGCGTTATCTTCAGTTCGCTTCTCTTCAGCCTCAGCAGAAATAAACATAACCCGGAGTGGTCTCTGTGTGTGTGTGTGTGTTTTATTTTGGTTACCCTCTGCAATGAGAAGAAAGTCTCCCATGCCGGTATCTCAGCCCACATACCGTGCTGGAATGAGTAAGGTGCTAATGGAAAAACTGGTCAGGGGAGCAGCAGTGCGGCTTTTACATGGGCTTGGCGCTGAGTTTGCTTTCCCAGGACAACCAGAGTGCTCAGAAAAAGGCATGGAAAGTGGGAAATCTGTGCTTTGATGTGCTACCTGCTCTTTCACAGTGATTTATGCCTATAGAAAGGTAACATTCTGTGTGCTGCCCAAACATACACAGCGAGGTCTGTATCAGGAGTTGGGTGATGGACGGTGTGGCAAAGTTTTTTCCTAGCATGGCATCTTCTGCCTGCTTCAGGTGCAAGGTAAAAGGTGCTGAGTAGGCTGGGAATTAGTATTGTTTTGGGTCATAGGGGCTGATTTCACATTACCCACTCAGTTGCATGCTGTTGTTCTAGAAATAGGGGTTTCTTCAACAACTGTCCTTGTATGGTGGAGTTATTTCTTGTGTTCCTACATGTGTGATAAGCAATTCTCAAGAGAACGAAAGACAACAGAAATTAAGGCAAGCAAGGAAATGATGCAACTAATATTTCAGAACTACCTGGAGCCTCTGGTTGAGAAAGTTGTTGCTGTTTGGTTTGGTTTACATCCAGGCCTTCCTGCAGCAAGAATTCTCAGAGGACCACAAGTGCATCACGCACTTGTTTGGGCGGCGTTTCAGCTCCTAACTCGTTTCTGTTCCTTTGGACATTCCAGCATAACCCAGAAAGAAGCATTTTAGGAAGTTGAGAGCTCTGTCTGTTACAGCAAGCCTTGCGCAGCACGATGCGCCTACGGACATGTGACATTTCCTTCCTTTCCTCTTTGCAGAAGAGGTAAAACCATACCCAGCAAACGGAGTGAACACAGCGTACCCAGAGTCCCGCTATACTTCAGACTACTTAATTAGTAAGTCACAGTTATCAGTACCATTCTGGTGCTTTTCTAGCCATGAAAGTGTCACCTATTAGAGATCTGACTGCATCACATGAGGACTGCACTGTGTTGCTCTGTCGTGGCAGAGCATGAGAAGTGCGTGACTTTGTCTTTCCTAATGCTGTTCTTGGTTTATTTACAAGCCATCTGTATTATATTGGTGCCTGCATTGAGATGACACAGTCCGACTTTGCAAGCACTGAAAAAGTGACCTCAGCATTCCAGAAAAACAGGGATTCTTAAGAAACTTACTAAAAAAGGGCTGGAATGGGGGAGAACAAGGCTTCATTCTGGATTACGAGGTGGGAGCCTAGCAAGGAAAGGGCTGAATCATCAATTTGGACTCCTGCACTTCCCATTGCCATTGTTTTGGAGATGTTCCTTAAGGGCATTTGAAATCTGTATTCCATGAACCAGCCAGAAAACCCCAAATCCCTTAAATAGGGATTCCAGGCTTTGGCCTGACTGAAGAGGTGACTCTAGAAGTGACTCACATATTGCAATCATCAGTGAGACTTCTTTGCCTTTTGTCTCCTTTGCTGAGGCTACACTCTGGTTTTCCAGCTTTTCCCCACCAGCAGCTTGCTCAAGGGGAGTTTGTCGTAGGGCACATTGATGCTGGTTAAGGAGGTCTTATTTTTTAACTTGCTGCATAGATAAGACACTATCTGTCTGTAGCTTTTAGAAACCTTCCTCAATATTAGTGCCCAGTTGTGCCAGGTGTTTTATACCCGAAGGCAGTCTGCCTTTGCACTCGAGACTTCACATCTCGCTGTGCTGAGGGGGAGCAAGCAATGTTCTGGTTTCCCTGAGCTGTTCGGGTTGCTTTCTAACACTCCTATTCTGCCAACAGGCTATGGCATTGAGCATGCACAGTGTGTGCCTCCCTCTGAGTTCTCCGAGCCCAGCTTCATCACAGAGTCCTACCAGACCCTCCATCCCATCAGCTCGGAAGAGCTCCTGTCCCTCAAGTACGAGAACGACTATCCCTCGGTCATCCTGCGTGACCCAGTGCAGACGGATTCCCTGCAGACAGACTACTTCACGATCAAGCAAGAAGTGGTTACGCCAGACAACATGTGCATGGGACGTGCCAGTCGAGGTAAAGTTGGGTATTTCCTAGGGTTTACTTGAGTTCTTGCTACTCTACCTATATCAACCTAAGTGCTGCTTTCCCTTCTGCAGGAAGTAGTGCTTTGGGGCATCAGGGGAGCCATGCAGTGGCAGTAACAAAGCCATTTCCCATATATAAGTGAACTCCCAGATGGCGTCGAGTCCTCCCTGCCTTTCTCTCCAGGGAGAACACGAAGGAGTTCTTTCTTTTCTCTACTCTGCTGCCTGTTTTTACAACATCTGCAGAAATGTGGCATTTCTGGCTCTGTACTTTGATGTCAAACTCAAGCGAAGCCAAAAAAGTCTTTCAGGTTATTAGGGAGGACAGGCTGCTGTGTGCTGGTATAAATCACATTTCCTAGGAGACCAGGCAAAAACCCCACAAATTCTTCCATAAGTTCTTGTCAGGCCGTGAAGGGTTTTACATCTGATGATCCAAACTCTTTATCCATGATCTCCATTGATTTTGATGGCTGCTTGCTTGAACTAATAATCTGTTCTGATGAACCCAAGCCCTGTGCTTTGTTAGGAGGTGCAGATGTCATGGGTTGAGTCTGCAACAGAGCTGAAGGGACCCCCTGAATCCTTGTGCTACAACCCTACATCTCCAGAGAGTTATAGGTACATGATTCCTGTTTGAGATGATGGGATTTAAACACCTAAACACTTCTGAGGGTCTGAGCCCAAGTACCTTTTCAATTAATGTTATTAAATTCTGTACACATGGGGCCCAGATGCCCGACTACTTTGTCATTAACACAAGGCTGAGGATCTGGTTCATGGTTTATATTCAAAGGCAAAGTTTAATCCATAGAGCTCAAAGTTGCTTACAAAGGGATATCATTATCTCCCAATTCCAGGTAGGGAACCTGAGGTATAGGGAAGAGATGTGACCTGCTTGCCATCACGGCCTGAATAGAATCCAGGTGTCTCCGTGCCTCACATTCATTATAGTAACGTGTTGCTGTGAGCCAGGTTTGATGTTGAACATTTAAACCCATTCATCCAGCTCTGAGAGATGAGGATGTTTTGACTCCCTGTGCAAGCCGGAGCCCCTGTGCAGGTCTGCACTGCATATGTGTGCTTAGTGGAGCTCGTTTTAAGTTCCTCATTCTTCTCCCAAGCTGGGAGAGCTAATGACAGGAAAGTTATTATTTGTATTACCTCTGCTTCTGCTGCTGGCTCAGTGTTAATGTAAGAGAGGTGACTTGGACAATACAAGGGCAGTAGTGTTGTAATTTTAGGTAAGCTTCTCTTTCTGGGCTTGTTTTTCTGGCTCTTTCATCAGTGTCTTTCCCTTTTCTTGACCTTTTCTTTAACATAGGTGATTTCATAATGATTCTCATCAAAATGCAATTGTTCAGGCATGCTTTTGCAATTGTACCTTCAGGCTGGTCTCACTGGCAAGCCTAAAAGGGCTCCAGGGGGGGAGAGAAAGAGCCCTTAACTCAGCACTGGTGACCAAGGGCCCCTGGCATTAACAAACACTTTAACGTACTGATAGTGACTGAAGAAATGCAACAGGCTGTGGCCGTGCTTACACTAACCTGCCTTGCAGCCATGTGAAAGGGCCTTTGGGTGGCATAAATCCTTAGTATAAAGCAGAGTCCAGTTACTTCATATTTACCTGCCTCTTTACCTTCCACAGTGTTCAGAGGTTAAGGTTAGTCTGCCGCAAAGTCGAGCTCTTCATCAGTTTGACATTCAAGATGAAGGTTTTCGAGACGGTCGCCTTTTGTCGTCCTTTGCGTGGGCTTCAGGAGTTAATTTTGGGGTCCCGGGGGAGTTGTTTCCCTTTGCCTTATCAGTGAGGGCATCTGGTTGGAAGCTGTAGCTGCCAAACCCATGAGTTCCTCCTCCTTTTTCCAGCTAAGTCAAATTAGGTGTATTTCCAAAGAATTACCAGCAGAATTAAGCCAATGAATCCCAACTTCACATGGTCCCGGGCCAGCAATCAGTGCAGAACCTGCGGTAGTTGAGTCTTTCCAGAGCAAGTGCTCTGCAAACTACAACACAAGTATTTGGGGGAACATGCCAGCATCCTTCCACGTTCCCATTCCTCTGGGATTCACTCTGCGGGCCCAGGCTGCGGGTGGCTTTGCCAATGGAAATTTCTCCAGGAGTTCTTGCACAATCCCAGCAGCTGTTTTTAGCCCGGTTTGGGAAATTACTGAACTTGAATGATCCTGTTACGCTCTGAGTTTGTCAGTAAAGATGTTGAGCAATCAGCAGCGTACGGGAGATCAGAGAGAACAATTTCAGTTTGTTCTTTGGAGCCTATTTTAGCTCTGTGTTTTAAGTACAGAGGGTATACTTATGCTGTCTCTAGTGGGTGTAAAGCAGCATAGCACTGCTGAGGATCTGGCCTCTCCTGTTCTGGTCTGTACTAAAAATATCCCAGAGAGTAGCCTTGATACAACCCAGCTGTGCTCACCTTACCAGAACTGGGGAAAGAGCTGTGTGAGCTCTCAGCCTTTTGCTCTCCTCCTCCATCAAATCTGCTGCTGTTTGGGGTCTTGGGGGGCTGGAAGCTGATCGTAACATACAGCAATAAAAGGCTGCTGTAGAGTTTTGTAGGAAGCATCTAAAGTAAAGAAGCTGGGTGTCCAGTGGTGGCAAACGGGACTTACTGGAGACCCAGAGCTTTCAGCAGCAAGAGCAAGAGGTCCTAGAGTGCCCATATTCAGGCACTTGAACTGAGCCTTGAATGTCTGTCTGAAGTGGGTTATTTCTCTGCCGTTGCCTTTTTGAAACAGAGGGTGATTTCCAGTTATCCCTAGGCATTGGTCTTGGGTTGAAAAGTCAGGACTTTGGGTTTTTTCACAGAGTCTCTGCCTTGATCTGCTGCCTGGGGCTCAGATAGGCCAGCTCTGAATTACAAGATAATACAGGCATCCCGGTTTTAGGCTATACTTCGAGTGTCTTTGGAGATGAAGCGTAGCTGGGGCTGTTCCCCACAGAGCATTCAGAACAATAGCTTTAAACTGAAAAGTGATAGATTTAGATTAGATATTACGCAGAAGCTCTTCCCTGTGAGGCGCTGGCACAGGGTGCCCAGAGAAGCTGTGGCTGCCCCATCCCTGGCAGTGCTCAAGGCGAGGTTGGACACAGGGGCTTGGAGCAACCTGCTCTAGTGGAAGGTGTCGCTGCTCATGGCAGGGAGTTGGAACTGGATGAGCTTCAGGGTTCCTTCCAACCCAGACCATTCCAGTATCATTGCCTGGTTGCTGTTTTGCTTGTGCAGCAAGCAGACGGAGCATCCTTCTGGCCATAGCAAGCCAGAGCATCCCTGCGCTGGCCAGGCACATCTCACACTCTCTTCCTTCTTGCCAGGAAAACTCGGTGGCCAGGACTCCTTTGAGAGCATAGAGAGCTACGACAGCTGTGACCGCCTGACACAGTCCTGGAGCAGCCAGTCCTCCTTCCAGAGCCTGCAGCGTGTCCCTTCCTACGACAGCTTCGACTCAGAGGACTACCCCGCCACCCTGTCCAATCACAAGCCCAAGGGCACCTTCAAGGACTATGTTCGGGATCGGGCCGATATGAACAAGGACAAGCCTGTCATTCCTGCTGCTGCCCTTGCTGGCTACACAGGTAGGGTCGTGCTCCTCGTGAAACAGCCTCTCTGGTGAGCATCTTGGGTAGGACCTCTCCATTGGTCGAGGGCAGAGCCTCCAGGGTCTCTGGGTTGTCTGTGAGTGAGTTTTGGGATGTCTCTGGGGTCAGCCACATGCACGTTGGCACACCTGAGAGCACGCAGCCCCCCAGGGCTGCATGTCCTTCAAGTGTGGGCATTCCAAACCTCATAGAGGATGGAGGACCTGGCTGTGAGTGCAGGGCATATAATGCCTTGTGTTTTAATTTACGCCTGGATGCCTCCTGGTTGGGTTTGCTTGGAACTGGTGTCTGGTTTATATTGCTGAGAACACAAGGTAGTAGAGAGCCCTCATTTCCCCATCTGACACTTCTGTGCAACGTGCTGGCTACTTGCTTGTTGTGTCCCATATTGAGCAGGAGCGGCTGCATTCCAGCATTACTGTGTGCAATGTGAAACGGTCTTCTCCCTTTTTTGCATGGAGGAAGCACTTGGGTTTGCTCTTTACCTCGGTGCGAGGCAGGGATGTGATGGTGCCAAAGCAGACCCAAAGATTTTTCCATTCCCTGCCCTGAGAGAGATGAGGTGATAGGCCATGGAAACTCTGCCTTTTTATATGACAGCCTTCCAGCAATCTGGCATCTCCATGAAGAAAAACCTGTTGGGATGGGGCTTCCAGCTCCAACTGAGATAATCCTTTCCAGTCCTTCTGTGCCTTGTCTTTTCCCTGTGCTATAAGTAAGATCCGCAGGACGGCCTCCTGCCAGTTCCCCTTTTCCCTCCTACATACTGATCTCTCCTGCCCCAGCTGGTAGCAGCTGGTGGAAATAGTTTGTGCAGATAAAGATCATCAGCAGGTTCAGAGCAGATCCTGAGGTGCGACTGTCCCTGAAATCTCCTCCTACACACAGGCTCGTCTTGGGGCTGATACGTAGATCTCTGTAAGGTGGGCAGAGATATGGAGGGGAGGAGAGGTGGAGAGATAATTTTAGGAGCTATGTGTAAAAAAGGAAGTGGTTTGTTGCTATAGCTTTAGTTAGAAAGAAAGCTCTGAGTTCTGCCTGCTCAATGAGCCTGTTTCGACCAAGTCAGTGTAAAATACAAATGTGCTCTGCTGTTCCTGAATGGTTTGGGGCTGGGCCATGCCCTGGGAAACCATCCACCACAATGCCATGGCAGTTGATATTCCTAAGAAACGAGACCAGTGAGCAAGTTTTACTGCTGTTCTCTCCTAATGACACCTATCACTGCACCCCATAGAAGTGTTCTGGGTAACCAGTGCCTGGGCAGGAGCATTGCTGCACTTTAACAGCTGGGGAAACTGAGGCACGGAGGCACTTGGCAAAACTAAGAGCTTTATTTTCCAAGCTGGATGTTTCCCTCCACGTCTGTAGCCCATTGAAAAGAGCCACCTCCATAGAGAGGAGCTGAAGGTGGTGGCTGGATGCTGTGTTTTGCCAGGGAGTTTTAGCACCCCAAAGAGTGTCCTTGGAATGGTGCCACTAGGAAGGGGAGACTTGGGTTAATTCAGTGTCAGAGCACACTTCCAAATGCTTTGCACTGCGTAACATTTTCCCTTGTCTCATTTCAAACCCCATTTTGAGCCGGGAAGATAATCCCTGGACACAGGCATTTTGGTGTGATCTATAATGGGGAGTGCCTGATTTTGACTTCTGTGTTGCTTCACTTGAAAAACTTTAAATGGAGACAGAAAAACCTGAGGTTTCCAGAAGCAGCGCTTACTTGGAAATCCTTGGGCTGGAGCGCTGCTAAGCAGTAATTCAGTCCTCAAAGCTCCCCAGTCTGTGTTTGCCATTGGGAACAAGCTTTGGAGAAATGATCTTTGCAGGCAGTGTTCTCTGTCCCTTTTTAAAGCCTACTGAGCTGTCAGCACCTTGTGTTTTCTGTGCAGAGGGAACCCAGTGTGGGTGCAAAGTGAAGCCAGGTTGATATGAAAGCGAGAACAAGTGAGAACACATTGCATTGCAAACTGTAGGAGAACTGGGCACTCTCAGAACTCAAAACTAGTGTGTCTGCAAAAATTGATGTAAAGAATCCATCCTGGCCACTGAGAAGTGCTGGACATCTGTCTTGGGCCAGCTGAGCAAGGGACTCTCAAGCAGAACTCCTAGGTCCTTCCTTGTTTGCTTTGCTTTACATCTGATTTACTCAGAGGGGGAAGTGCTGTCTAGCAGCTAGAGCAGAGGAACTTCAGTCTGGGCTCTGCAGCTCTGGTGAAGAGGTGGAGCCTCCAAATGAGCAGAGTAGGGGATTACCAGCCCGGGGTCCCAAAGCGACCAGGACCTTGATTTCTCTTTCTCAGATGATGCTACCATGCCCAGCACATCACCAGCCAGTGGAGCACCCAACACACATGCCACGATGTGCACCTTTCCGGGCTGGAAGAATGAAGCCTGGGAGATCACATCCTTCATCTCCAGGTTGACTTTAAGAACGTGATGATATTGTTCAGGCTTTGTTACCAAGGGGCTGTTTTGCTGGTGGCCCAGGGAGGTGGCACAGTGCTTTATCACAGATATCTGATGGTATCTGCCCCAGGAGGCACATGCTTTGGTGAGAAGGTGCATTTTGGCGGAAGCTCCATTTGCGTTTGATGTGTTCTTCACCCAGCTTGAGAGCAGCTTTTCAAAGCTGCCTTATCTGCCCCCACATCTTGACCTAATTTAGCAAGTTGCCATGGTTGCTCAGAGAGAGGTTGATGCAATTTTCTTATCTTTTTGGGTTTTTTTCTGAAGGAGAAATGTAATTGCTCAGGAGCTGGTGAACTTCAGTTTCCATAGCTGCAGGGAGGGCCAGCGCTGGGCACCTCTGGTTTTGGAGCTGGCTCTTCCAAAGCTTGGCCAGCTTGAGCCTTACATTAAGCCAGATCTTACTTCTCTTGACATGACCTAGGAAATGGAGGCAGAATGCATCCATTTATATTGTGTGTCAGGATGCATCTTCCATGCAGGCAGGTGTGCTAAACCTCACGTTGGCTTAGCTAAGGTCGGTTTAAGCTTCCTTACTCATGCAGCAGTGCAGTGTTTGGTGTTGGTGGGTGGCCAGGTAGGACCTGGTCTAGTGAAAGGTGTCCCTGCCCATGGCAGGGGCTTGGAACTGAAGGAGCTTTAAGGTCCCTTCCAACCCAAAGCATTCTATGGTTCTATGATTCTGTTTGTTGAGTGCCCCAAAGCACCTGTGTGGGTTTATAGCCATAGTGTGTATTTGCTCTGTGGTATGTAGGCCCTCAGCATCATCTCTGCAGGATGGGGCTTTCCATCCCGCAGTGCTGTCTGCATTGCCACAGTACCAGAGCTGTGATGTGCCGAGCTACTGCTCCATTTAGCTGAACAGGCAGAGCAGAGTAATTCCACTCATGTTTGAGAGGCAGATGGAGAAAAGAGGGATGAGAAAGGTGGAGTGAGTGCTCACCAAACCTTGATCTCTCATCTGCAAGGCTGGTTTTGCATTTGTGATGCTGCCCTTTCTTACAGACCTGGTTAGGAAGTCTCTGATGTCCTTACAGCACCTGAAGAGTTAACACCCCCTGCCCAGCTAATATCATACATGATCTGAATGTCTGTCTTGGGGACAGATTGATGCTACCTTCATTATCATGCTGCCCTTGAAGAAGACAGACAGTAGTGCAGGGAATAGCCACCTCTCACAGATGCTATCTTGCCTGAGTGCCTGTCTGCCAAACGGTTTTGCCCAGGCCAGATCCCACCCTAATCCTTGCTATCAGCATTCACAGTGCTGTGTCGATAGGGCCCAAATTTGCCTGCTAAACCCATCTGCCCTGCTTGAATTGCCTGTGGTGCAGAGCCTGAAGCCTCTGACAAGCCTCATTTCTGAGCGATGCTTATCTGTGACACAGAAGTGAAAGCACGCAGCTGCTGTTTTGCAAGAAAGTCAAGTCTGTGCCAAAGAAAGTGGGTCTCTTTCAAGAGAGCTTGTGTGCTGCTTCCCCTCTTCTTGTTGCCTGTGCTGCTGGCCTGAAGCTTCCACCAGCAAGCTCCCTGGATGTGCTGTGGTCATTGGCATCCAGAAACCCACCAGCAGCTCCCTTCCCAGCCCCTCTCTGTTCCTTGATATCCAGAGTGAGGGTAGTAGCTTTCCTAGAAACATCAGCATCCTTCCTGCCTGCTTCTGGAGACTGTGCCTTCATGGGGTTCCATATAGCCACTGGTAACTTGGGTTGAGGGAATTTGGAGATGCAGGCAGCTGCCCCAGCCATCCAAATCACAGAATCATGGAGTAATTAGGCTTGGAAAGGACCTAGGGTCGTCTTGTTCCAACAAGCAGCACAGCAGCACCTTTGTCCCCTGTGTGATGCAGAGGATGTTGGCTCACTCCTTCGGGGTTATACCCTGTACCTGCCCTTGCAAGGTGACTTCAAGTGTGACCAGCTATACTGCCTCCTGCTTGGTTTCTACTTCTGGTGTAGAGCCTGCATGGCTCAGCAGCGAGGTGCGGAGCTCAAGGGTAGTGCTAGGGCTGGGGCTGGTTCAGTGGCTCCTGCTCCACCTGCCAGACATGTGCAAATGACAGTGAAATGAGCCCCACACTACGCTGCCCAAGCGTGACAGCAGCTCAGCTCTCACCAAAGAGGCTTGGTTTGTGTTGAAGAGACCTTAAAGCTCATCCAGTTCCAACCCCCTGCCACAGGCAGGGACACCTTCCACTGGAGCAGGTTGCTGCAAGCCCCATCCAACCTGGCATCCCAGCATGTTCTTCCTCGAAACAGAGGAGATGCATCAGGAAAGCAGAACTAACTCATTATGGGTGCTCTCCTGTCTGTAACCATGGCCAGAAGTACATGTCTCCACATATAGGAGCTTTCTGGGTCCTTCTCTGCTTTCTTCATGCCAGCATCTTTGTAGATGCTTCTATCTGAGCTCCACCTTTGTCCTCCCACCCATGCAAAGCTGGCACTTTGCAGTGGTGCGACTACGTGCACCAGCTTGGGCAAGAGCCGGCGAGGAGGTGGCTGGACTTGATCTAACAAGGGATGGATGGGGACGAGCTTTGCTGTTCCCCAACACACTGGGGGAAGTGAGGGACCTTTGGTGCCATCAAAGGGGGCTCAGGCAGGGCGGCACGTGTGTGAGGTGAGGGCTGTTTTGGAGACGTTGCTATGCCCAGTTGTTTTGTTGGGTTGGAACCACAAACCACAGAGCGTACAGGATAGGTGCGCCGCTTTTTTTTCTGTCGGTGGGGTGGGTTTTTTTCACTTCTTTTCTTGTTTTAAAGAAGGGAAACAGAACGGAGGCCGTTGGGAGGGGTGGGTGTGTGAAACTTGTCTCAGGAGAGAGTGGGGATGACGTGGTTTGGGCCGTGCCCTCACCGATATGGCGCAGATACCGGTCTGACCCAGCCCAACTGGTGCTGCCATCACTGCACAAGTGACAGTGGCTGTTCCAAAACCCCTCCAGAGCCACTGAGTAAGAAGGTGATGGGGTCCAAGGGAGGATGTCACAGGGATGGCTTGGCACCAAACCCTTTCCTCTGGGGACACCCAGGGGTGCTATCAGAGGACTAATGCTGAAGGGGCAGCGCTCAGCAAGCAGTTCCCACTGTAGCAGCTCTCTGTCATCCGGCTGCAAGGCATATTTTCCCCCTGACGTGGGGAGAATTCCTGTGGTGTGACACTCCCCACTGAAGGACCCCGTTCAGTGCCACTGAGGCCAGACAGGGCCCTCATTGTGGCCTATTCTTAGCATCCTTCATGGGTGCCTGAGGTCTCAGTGGGGCGGGAGGATGTCCCACCACCGTCTGAACCCTTGCCTTGTCTTTTGTGGAGCAGAGCTGCCTCCATTCCCTCGCCAGGTCTGGATTTCCTCTGGGAGGACTAGCACCATAGTAGGTGGTATATGTTCCACTTCATCCTTAGGGCTGCATCCAAAGTAAAGGCTGCAGGAACACTCAGTAGTGGCTGTATTTGGAGATAACCAAGGCAACCCGTTGCGTGGTGGGATACACCCGCTGGCCTTGGGGCAGGCGGCGCGGCTGTGCGTGCCTGCACCATGAAGTGATCTGGTCCCGGCGTCGCAGTGGGGATTTCCAGCCCCAGGCAGGGATGAGTGGAAGAGTTGAAGCAGAAGGGATGGAAAATGGGCAAAGCTCCCGGCTCTGCAAGGGCGGAGGTTTGGGGCATGGAGACAAGCCCAGCAGCTTCATGCTTGCCCTGGTAGCTTTGGGGATGCTGGATAGGGGGGTTGGCATCACTGCATGAGCCAGAGGTCACCTTGAAATCCTGTTAGGCATTGGGAAGAATAACTCCCTGCTCCTTGCTGCAGAAGCAGCTCATGGAATGGTTTGGGTTGGAAGAGACCTTAAAGACAATTTAGTTCAAATACATGCTCCAAGCCCTGTCCAAACTGGCCTTGAACACTGGCAGGGATGGGGAAGCCACAGCTTCTCTGGGTAACTTATGCAGCACCCTCATAGTGAAAAGCTTCTTCCTAGTATCTAATTTAAATCTACCATTTTCTAGTTTAAAGCCATTCCCCCTTGTCCTACCGATACCTGGTGAGCTTCTCATCTCTGAAGGTAGTCCTGCAGGCACTAAGAACAGCGGTACAGGTCCACCAGATGATGCACAGACCTCCAGCACCCCTTCCCTGACCATTTTGCCTTCCTACCCTCTGGTCTCCCTCCTCAGAGCAGTTTTTGGCCATGCAGGCTGGGGCATGTGCCAGGGCTTGGTTCCTGCACCTCAGCATTGCTTGCCTCGCTGACAGCTCCAAGTCAGCAGCAGTGGCACATCTGCAGGGCCTCTGCTGCCTTCCCCTCCGGCGGGGTATGTGTTTATAGGAGCTCAGACATGCCTGCGAGCCCTGCAGTAAACACATTCTTGACATAATTGCTTGTCCAACACAGAGGAATTTGGGGTTTTACGGTGTCCCGCAGGCAGCTCGGAATAGAGCTTGGGAATCCCTGTTGCAGGGATGACACCGCTTCCTTCAGAATCCCAAAATACCCAGCAGAGCAGAGGCAGGAGCCCTGCATTGCTTGCTGGAGAGAGGGCAAGAAATTCCCAGGTTTCCCAACACCTCTCCATGTCAGATGTGAGCTTGAACCTCGAAAGGATCCCACAGAGGCAAAGCGGGCCAGACAGAACCTGGTGCCAGGGTGGTGGGTTTTCATCCATCTTATTCTGGGAATTAGATGCCCAGAGAAGCTGTGGCTGCCCCATCCCTGGCAGTGTTCAAGGGCAGGTTGGACACAGGGGCTTGGAGCAAGCTGCTCTAGTAGAAGGTGTCCTTGCCCATGGCAGGGGATTGGAACTGAATGAGATTTAAGGTTGCTTTGAGCTCTAACCATTTTATGAGTCAATGAATAATCCTTATTTGGTTGGGCAGGAGAGAAATCAGTGCAAGGTGGTGAATCTGGTTTTGCTTAAATCTTGTCTCCATGGACTGTTTCTCTGTTAACCTGCTTTGGGTGTTGGATACTCTCTGTATAGGGAAGTGCTATAAAGTCAGATCGGCTGGGAGAAACAGGCTCCGTGGTAATTCACCTGTGATTCCCCATGGAGGACCTCAGGCTGCTGAAATAACCTTTTTTTCCCCAGTGTTTTCTCTGTGTTTAAAGCTTGCTGCTATAAATAGGTCTGAGTTTTGAGATGCGGTGGCATTTCAGGCCAGGGTTTTGGCTCTTCCCTTTTGGGTGGGAGGCGAAGGCGTCATCTGACTTTCCTCCCCTGTTTTGGTGTGGATAAACCCTACCAGAGAGTGTGGTCATGGAGTCAGCGTCTTGGCAAGCTCTTGCCTAGAACAACACCGGACTGGAGCCTTTCCCTGCTGAGTGTCATCTTCCCATTCACAAGCAGAGAGATGGTGTGAGCTCCCTGCTTGTCCAACCCATGGCTGTGTGATAACCCCCAGGCTTGGAGCAGCTCCTTAGGAATAACAGGAGGGAAACAGTTTGGGGAGGGCTGGATGGGCCACAGTGATTTCCCTGTCCTGGAGCCAGCTCTCTCATTTTCTCCTCCCTAGCAGCTCCTCTGCTTTTGAGTCATTTTAAACCTCGTGGAAAAGGGGGAACAGCCCTCTCTTCCTTCTGCGGGTTATCCCACAGCCACAGCTCGACAGCATTCATTGTCATTCCTGGAAATAAGATGTTCTCCATCCCTTTGTCTGAGTACATAATTCTTCCTCCTCCCTGCTTGAAGCCTGTGCTCATTGCTGTCAGCAGGCGGGTTTACCCCAGCCTGCTGTCTTAATGCAGCCCGTGCCATTCTTCTTGTGATAAATCATTTCCTCTAACCCCTGGTTCTGTTTATTATTATTATTATTGTCATTCTAGTTATTAGTGATGTATTTTAAGCTGCGTTTAGAACATGGCAACGTCTCTCCCAAAACATGTTGCCCAGAGCTAAGCACAATATTTAGGGTGCGGCTGCATTTGGAAGTTGCTCATCAAAGAGATTTGGCTTGAGGGCTTCTCCTCTACCTTTGATTGGGACACAAGAAGGGATAAGGGTTTCAAAATCATTCCATGTACACCATTCATCCATCCCAAACCAGGCTGCGAAGCCGCAGGCACCAGGTACTGCAGATTAGATGTGTCAGAGTGGTGTTGGCCAAAATTAACACCCCGGGGACTGTGGTGTTGTAAGGAGAGGTTGAACCTACGTGGTATGGGATGCTGTGGGCCACTTTGAGTGGATTAGGGGGAGCAGCAGCCACAGGGAGGTTTATTAGGACTTTGCTAGGAACCATGATAGGGAGATGCAACAGTCCTGAGCTGGTGAGACCCATGCACAGAGCCAGCCAGCCCCTGCCTTCCCTGCACTGAGCTCTGTGCACCAGCGCAGCCGATTCCTGCAGCAACATGCCCTGGAAAGAGGCCAGATGATTTTCATACCTGGGTGTCCTCCCCCTTATCTCCATGAACAGCAACGGAGCAAAGAGTCAAGGTCGGGAAGCAGGAGTCTGCCGGAGTTCATGTGATGGCCAGCAGCTTTTTGGCACAGAGGAAGCGGGGTGCTGTTGTGCCAAGACAATGACTGCTCGCTGTTTGCATGCCAGAAAAGTAATCCTATTTATGTAACTCGAAGTGAAGCGTTCCAGTGCGTGAATATTCAGCTCTTACTGCAAATAGGAAGCTCTTTTACCTGCAGAATTTAACTCTCAAGCCGTCATCTCAGACCACATCTTGCCCTGTGGTCACTGGTTATTTTCTTTATGCCAGTAGGTTTAATTCTTCTCAGTGTGTACTGTTTGGATGTGATATTCCCCCACGCACACCCCTTGGATAGAAGGAGCTGTGCTTTTCCTGGCATTAATTTCCTGTATTTCTCTTGTCATTCTAGGCAGTGGACCCATCCAACTGTGGCAATTCCTGCTGGAGCTGCTCACTGACAAGTCCTGTCAGTCCTTCATCAGCTGGACGGGTGATGGCTGGGAATTCAAACTTTCCGACCCAGATGAGGTAGAGTGCCCTGGAACAGAGTGCACAGCCCAAATCCCTTTGAAATATTGGCGTGGATAACCCTGCCCTCCTCCCTTCAGGGCTGAGATTTGGGCAGTCACATTGTTCTGGTCGTGGGTGTGTGTATGGGAAACCAGTGAATTAGATCCCAGCTGAAAACTGGCTGCACTAAATCTGGGAGGCCATAATTTGTGCCCAGAGTCAGTGGGAAATAGCTGAAACACGGGAGAGAAGAGGTATAATGCCAGAAAAGGATGTGTACAGGTGAGAAGGGAGACTTCCCACAGATTTTGGGGAGTGAATACTGTACCAGCTCGCCCAGAGAGGTGGTAGATGTACAGTCCCTTGAGCCATTCAAGGCTGGATGTGGTTCTTGGCAATCTGATCTAGTTGAAGATGCCCCAGCTCATTGCAGGAGGATTGGACTAAATGATCTTTGAAGGTCCCTTCCAGCCCAAACCATTCTGTGGTTCTGTGACCCAGGATGACTTGCACGTCCTCATAGAGTCCTGTGCAGTGTTCTGTCATTGCATGGAGCTTAGTTTCCCCAAACCCTAACGCTTGTGACCCCTCTGTGCCAATCTTAAAGATGAGGAAATTCCTTTCTCTTCCCTTGTGTCCGGTCCCTGTGATGCGCATCCCTCCTTGACTCTCCTCTCCCCTCTCCCAGGTGGCCAGGCGATGGGGCAAGAGGAAAAACAAGCCCAAGATGAACTACGAGAAGCTGAGCCGCGGCTTGCGCTACTACTACGACAAGAACATCATCCACAAGACGGCTGGGAAACGCTACGTCTACCGCTTCGTCTGCGACCTGCAGAGCCTGCTGGGCTACACACCCGAGGAGCTCCACGCCATGCTGGACGTCAAGCCAGATGCTGATGAGTGAAGGTGGCCGGCCGGGGTGGAGGGTCACCCCGTGTCATTTTGAAGAGTCGATGGGACTTTTTCTGTTGGTTCTTTTTTTCTTATTTTTGCTGTTCTTTTGGTCATTTGTTAATTTGTTTTTGTTGTTTTTTAAAGAGCGACTCAGATTTGATGCTTTGAGGATGTTGGGAGAGAGGGAGGCGGAAGAGGCAAACTGTGTTTCGTTTGGAGAAGGTTGAGCTTTTTCCTCCCCCTGAAAGCTCCAAGAAAGGCTTTTTTTTTGGGGGAAATTCTGAGTTTTAAGAAAGCCAGAAAAAATGTAGCTCACTTAAAAACCCCAACAAACCCCTCCTCCATCCCTTGCTGTTTAGAAAAAACATTATCAAATGGATCCCTTTGGATTTTGTGTTACTCGCACGCAGGCAGTTCAGGAAACTATAGTATTCCCAAGCATTTGAATCTCTCTGAAGGTGGGGAGGGAAAACCAAAGTGGGTGACTATTCCTGCTTTGGGGAGGGGCAATATGGGAAAACCCCAAGAGCTCTTTGTCGTTCTTGGCCATCACCTTTCTGTTGGTTGTCTGCTTTTCTACAAATGACAGAATTTTTGCTAGGAGGGATCAAGACTTTTTTTTTTTGTTTTAAGAAATCTGTTAAAATTTTTATTTTATTAAATTTTGTGCCAGTATTTTTTTTTCTTTTTAAATAGTCTTAAGCTCTAAGATGGTCTCAGTATTGCAATATTGTGTGTGTTTGTTTCTGTTATGCCAGCAGAGAGTTTTATCACGGTGAGGAAAAGGTTAAAGATGAAAATAGGAGTTTATGTAGACCCCACTGGAGGAGTGGAGCGCTATGACCCAGCATCTCCGCATCGTATGTGAAGGAAAATGAGCTCCAAACTGGCTCCTAGTGATGCATGCGGGATGTGCTGCTCTCACCTCCAGCCCCACATGCTTTGCTCTGCCACTTGCTGATAAAGCTGGTTGAAATGCCCACTTTTGGGATTGTTTCTCAAAGAGGCTTTTTTGTATGGCTGGTTTTGGGCACAAAACCAAGCCAGATTAGCAGGGAAAACGTCTTCTTTGTGTTTTCCAAATCTTTCTCTTTTTTTGCTCAAGGAACACCTTGGTGCTTTCAAAACACTTGATTTGTTCTTTTTTGGAGGGTAAAATGGAAAAAATTCCCTTGTTTTCGATGTCGTAAATGGAAAATGTATCTGTTGATTTGAGGCATAAAAATCAGGAAAAAGTTGGAAAAACAAAGTTTTCCTTCCTGTTTCAACCAGCTTTTATCTTTATTGCTGTATGTGACACTGGCACAGGCTGCCCAGAGAAAGCTGTGGCTGCCCCATCCCTGGCAGTGTTCAAGGCCAGGTTGGACACAGGGGCTTGGAGCAAGCTGCTCTAGTGGAAGGAGTCCCTGCCCATGGCAGGGGGTTGAAACTGGATGAGCTCTAAGGTCCTTTCCAACCTAAACCAGTCTGGGATTCTATGATTCTGTGTCTTAACCAGCCTGGCACATGCAGAAAGGAAATTGTCCGTACAAATAGGTTCTTTACTGCTCTTTGGAAGCCTGATCCTGCAGCCCCTGGCAGGGTGTGATGAACATGAACTGGTGTCATTGGGGTGAATGATGAGAAGTGCACCAAGCACTTCCTGGGATGATGCTGATTGCTGTCAGCGGGGGCTAGATGTGAGTTAGGGGATCAGGCAGTGAGCTTTTCCATATCCATATACAACCCTGGAGCTGGATTCGTGTGGATCTGGCTGCCAAATGGGATCTTTCTCCCTTGAGAGCCACTGGGCATTTTCTTTTTAAAGACAGTATTAAGTGTTTGAACCAAAAGTACCTTCTTTATGTGTTGTCTGTCTGTCTGTGTGTTTTAGGGAGTTGTTCATTATGGAGGCACTGTGAGAGGGAAGCTGGGGGCGAGGTGGGGAAAGGCTTCCCAGAGATGCTCATTGGGATATGCCTGCCGGATACAGGCTGATGCATCAGCTTGGCAGGAAACGACCCTGCCTGCAAAGAGACACAATACACAGGCACCTAAACCCTCTGTACAGAGGGACACTGTTGGATGAGGATTTTAATCACAAGGAGATGCTTAGAGGGATACCTCTATATCCCCAGTTGGCCATTTTGGGGCAAGTCATCCCCAAAACTGCTGCATGCTTATAAAAAAGGTAATGGTGGAGGGAAAATGAGTGGGCCACAAAGGAGCTCCAGCCCAGGGAGATGGAAGAAGGTGGTAGTTTAGGTAAGGGAGGCTATTAGTTATGCCGTTAGCTGATGGAACTGTACATTGTCCCACTGAGCATAGGGAAAGAAAAGGGTTGGCTGGATAGAAAGGAAGGAAAAGGGGATGAAGGGAAGGTGAAAGAAGCATGCACCAAAGGAGCGAAGAAATGATGGCCACTGGGAAATCAGTCTCTGTCAGGCAGGATGGGAGAAAGCAGCTTGGTGAAGCTGGAGAGAAGGAAGGAAGGAAAATCAGTATCATGGATGAGGCCCTGAGCAGAGCTCTGCTGCAGAGCCAGGGCTGAAAAGGGAGTCAAACAGATGTGGCAGCATGGCAACGTGGAGGGGAGGAGTAGTGCAAAGGCATCCCAACAGGACACACTGTATGGATTTTCAGCCATCAGATGGGGGTTTGTAAGTGTCCTGTTGCTGTCCTTCATGCAGCTGCACAGTGCCCTTAGCTTACCCTTCCCAGTGCTTTGAAAGAGCCTCCAAGACCCTTAGAAAGGGGCTGTCTCCTGCCCTTGGCACTATGCTGCTTCCCAGGACATGCCTCCTGCCTTGCTTGGCTGCTCTGCTGCAGCTGAAGTGCCTTTTCCAAGCAGAAAACAGGGATAAAACTTCCTTCCAATAGGGATTTGGGTACCAACCCCATCCTCCTGCCAGGCTAAATCTCTCTTCCACTCCACTGTGCTCAGATTTTCCAGGTTTCCAAGCTGAACCTGTGTGCTGCCAGTATTTTGGGGCAGCTGATAGAGAGGTTAGAAAGGGTGAAGTATGGAAAGCAGATCTGTTTTCTTGGGAGTAGCTCCTGGTGCTTCTCCCAGCCTTTTGGCATCCCAGCTCACAGGCTGTGTGCAGCAAAAGGGCAGTACAGTCCTAGGGACGTCAGGTTCATCATTTCCTATTTTCCTTTGCTTTTTATTCCCATTCTAGAGACCATCCCAGAGAGGGCTGTGTGCTGTTTATACACTGGAACTTTGCAGATTTGTTGCTGTTTCTGTTTTATTTGTATCTTTCTGCTTTTTGGCTTTTGGTAAGGGGTGTGCTCAACCAGATGTGCTGGACCCCAAACCCTCTGACCTCCTGTTCCTCAAGGCCGTGAAGAGTCGGTTAATCCACTCACACATGCTGGACCAGATGGGTTTGAGAGGGACGATGGAGATCTGCTGGGGACACGGCTTACTCCTGTGCTGGTTTCTGTGCATGGGATTAAGTTTCACCCTCAGCAGATACACATGGCTTTTGGAATTGGGTAACTATATCTTGTTTTGGAATGTCTCAGGTGCTTTTGGTGGGAAAAACAGCCAAACAGGGCAAGAAATAGAAGATACTGTACGACTGAACCTTCTCACAGCTTCCCAAACCAACCTCCTCCAAAAGAATGGTCCCAGGAAGCACCCGTATTTGGATGCTGTGGGAAACGTGTCCATCTTCTTGTGTTTGCTTTCCTGGAGGGGTTTTCTGCAAGGCTTTAGTTGCTTGTTCCTTTTTAATGTCACAATTGGGATGCCTTGGCGTGCTCTGCTCTCTGGTAGGGTCTATGTAACATCCGTGAGCTGTTGTCTACATTCCAAAGAGGTTTAAATAAATGATAAATCTATGTATACATATATGTTGTAATGGAATATCTCCAGGAATTATCTGCCTCAGTAGAAAAAGAGAAAAAAAATAAAAAGTGGGTGTTCTTTTTTTCTTTTTTTTTTTGGTTTAATTTTGTTTTTACACATGGGATTTTCTTTTTAAGCTGATAGAAGAAGAAAAAGAAGAGATTGTTATATTGTGCTGTTCAACTATTTTCCAACTTGTATTTTCATATAATTTATATTTTTTAAAAGTGGAAAAAAAAAGTTTAAAAGCCAGATTAAAAAAAAAATAGATAAAAACCAAGGAAAAAGCAGGTGCTTTTTAAAACAAACTGAGCTGAGGTAGCTTAGAGATGTAGCGGTGTGTGTGTGTGTGTGTGTGTGTGTCCGTGCGTTGTGTTGTGTTCTGTTTCGTTTTTTTAAAGGATGCAAAAAGAAGTCCCTCCTCCATTGAACCCTTAAAGAAGGAGGGGATTGGTTTTGTTTTAATTGCTGATGCTGGCACATCATTTTGCTGGAGAGTTTTTTATATACTGTAGCCTTATTTCATATCGTATTTTAAACCATGTGAAATTAAAAAGAAGAATAATTCCTAACCCTCTGTGTCGGTGTGATGCTTCCTTGCCTTTGCTCGTGGAATTCAGGGAGAAAGGGGGAAAAGCAATACAAAACCTTATGAATGCCAGCATGTTCTGGGGGTTTTTGCTTTATTATTGCGTGGTTATAGGAAATAAGGGTCTGGCTGGAGTCATGGCCTCTGGGTAGGCATAGAAGATGCTGCATGACACCAGCTCCTTCTCGTTTTGGGTTACCCTCTCCAGCTCCTTAAAGACCATCACCAATCCTCATTGCCATCCCAGGGGCAATTCCAGGGTTTTAGAATGGGCTTTCATCCCAAATCATCACTGGGAACTTGGGCTATCTGTGACTTACCACCCAAAATGACTTCTAGTTGTAATTTCTTCAGCAGGCTGTTGTGAAATAGGCGCAGCCAACTTGCAAAGCCACCAGCTCACCCTTGCTTGAAGGTGCTCTTGGGCATCTATTTTTCTACTAGAGACCTTGGGCTGTGGCCTATCAAGAGGAGAAATCCACCTCTGGGCTCCCACTAAAGCAAATCAGACCATTGTGCTTTAGATGTTTGAAAGAGACATTTTTATACTTTATATTTTTTCCAGTGCTGTTATCCTGGCTCAGGTATCCCTCCTCCTCAGCAAACCAGGGTTGATTGGAGCCTATTAACATGCAGGTCTGATTAATGAAGCATCTTGGGATGTTCATGGTCCAGGAGCCGACGCTTACTCATAAGGGCTGGTGAGTTTGTGTGATGAGGAATTCCCAGAGGACAACATCATTGATGCTTGTTTGCTTGAATCAGCGCGAAGACAAAGCACTCAAGATCTGTGGAATACCAAGAAGGGACGTCAGGTCATCGACGTGGAGAGGATGCAACGGATGAATCCAGGGTAAGGAATATTTATAATAACTTCATTTATAGCCATTCAGCTTGCAGCCGTGCAGGAAACGAGAGGTCTTGGGGAAGGATGAGGGGTGGAGAAGCATCGTGATGCTTCAGTGTGGGCCTGGGATGCTACTGAGTTTTGACTGCTCAGCATACCCTAAGCTTGATAGCACCAAAACCTGTCAGAGAGGCAGATGAGACCCCAAAACAGGGAATACCCTAGGGATGCTCTGCTCTGTATGCAGCTCAGAGACAGGGAGCAACAAGCAGGAGTGGTTCTCGCCTTTGCCTCTGTTGCCAGGACCTTGATCTTGCCGTAGCTCTTTTAATCACAGCTGGAGGCGCTGAGCCAGGCAGAGCCCGGCCACCCAGGGTAAATAAACAGCAAGAGCAGCTCCGTTCCCATCCGCTGCTTTCAAGTCTCTGTGCAGCCCCCAGTAACTGCAGGCAACTGATTTAATGCTGGCACTAAAAATACTGGCCGGGGAAGCCCCTGTGCACCTGGGGTATCCACTGGGGAAATGGTGGCCAGCAGCTAACAGCCCAGAGGCAAAGCAGATGCTCCCCCGTGATCATAGAATGGTTGGGTTGGAAGCGACCTTAAAGCTCATCCAGCTCCAAGCCCCTGCCATGGGCAGGGACACTGTGCTAGAACAGGTTGCTCTGAGCCCTGTCCAACCTGGCCTTGAACACTGGCAGGGATGGGGCAGCCACAGCTTCTCTGGGCACCCTGTGCCAGCGCTCACCAACCTTAAAGAATTTCTAATACCTAAATCAAATCTCCCCTCTCAATTTAAAGCCATTCCCTCTTGTCCTGTCATTGTTCAGGCATGGGATTTAAACAAAGCCAGAGCAGTAAGCAGGGTCTTCCAGGCTCTGGCGTGTGTGTACTCAGGGATGTGGGAATCCAGCGCACAGTGCCAGGAGGGTGCAGTGAATCCCTAACACCAGAGCTGGTGCCTGCAGGATGGAGGGGGCTTTGCATGCTTGAAAGCGGCTGCATGTGCTGAGAGCTGCTGCTCTAAATAGAGGCCAGAGAGCAAACGAGTCTTTTTTAGGTCAGTGTCTTGAAATGAGATGTCTAAACCGGTGCTGGAGGGAAATAGATTGAAACAGGAACTGAAATTACTGAAGCCTTAACTAAGGGAAGGGCTCTCTAGAAATCTCTGAGATTAGCAGGAGATGTGAAAGAGGAGAAATGTGAATGTAGAATCATAAAATGACAGATGGGTTTGGGTTGAAGGGATCTTAAAGCCCATCCAGTTCCAACCCCCTGCCATGGGCAGGACACCTTCCAGTAGAGCAGCTTGCTCCAAGCCATTGGGGTATCTCTGTACTTGCTCCAGCAGCTCCAATTCCCTCTTGTGTTGTTGCCCCAGAGCTGGATGCAGGACTGCAGGGTGGGGGGAATATAGGGAAAGGGAGAAGGAGAGGTGTGAGGGGTGCTGCAGCAGCAAGGGGATGAGCTTTGCTCCTTCCTTGGCTATTTGCAGCACACGGGGATGCACTCACAGGGATGCACACACGCTGTTGATGCTTGCTGGAGACCTTACCCCAGAATAACTGGAGATTTAGGGCTATTAGAAGGAATTTAGGCCCCTGGGCTCTATTTCACCGCCCGTGGCGGTGCCGGGGATGCCAGGGACGCCTTTCAGAGTCAGCACTTTCCACCCCGCGCTCTGTTTGCTTTCCGCGGCCGGTTCCCTCCCGCTGTGCCGGGGCCTCTGAACGCCATCCAACAGCAACTTCCCGGCTCCTCCAGCGCCCTTTCCCCCGCGCCGCCGAGCGCTGCCGTTCCCTGGCCTCGCTTGAAAGCCGGCCCCACAATGAGCTATTGTGCCAGGCTGCACAGCAACAGCCACGGCCAAAAACCAGCTGCCGGCGGGGGGGGCGGTCCGTGTGCCTGCCAGCGCCCAGCTGCCTCCTAGAGAGCACAAGGACAGGGATGCTCCCCGTTGCTGCATCCCTGGGGTAGGGATGCTCTCTGGGATGATGCATCCCCTCCTGCATGCAGCATCCTTTTGGGGTTTGGGGTGGGAGCAGGACGCTCTCAGCCCTGGTCATGCTGATCTGAGCTTATTTAGACTGTCTTTGCATGAGGTTAAACTGGGATGTCCTAATTCCCCCCTCTCAGCTTGAATTGCCCTTGATGCTCCCTTCCTAGTCCTCCACTCCTTCTTCAACCCTCCTGGCATTCCAAACCCACTATTTCTCTCTGCCTGGGGTTATCCCTGGCCCACTCCCTCCCTTCTCCTCCTCCTCCTCCAGCCCTGGCACCATGGAAAAGGCATTGTAGTAACGGTGCCATTTATTTCCAGCTTTGAATAATGACATTTACCAGCTGGAAATCACAAGCCAGAGCAATGCAGCACATTGGCTCGGTGCAGACCACCAGCATGCCCAGGGCCTTAAGCCCAAACCTGAGCAGTGCTGGGGTTTGCAGGAAGCTGGGAGGGATGGAGAGGGGAGCAACGTGCTGCTGAGCTCAAACCCTGGCAGAGGAAGAGATTTCTTTTGTAGGGGGGAAATCAGGTAGGGAGATTTGGCAATAGGAAAGGGGTTTGCTGCTGGCACATCTCTGCTTCGGCTTTTCTCTCCCTGTGAGAACAGCCCCCGGCCTGGCTGGCACAGGGTGATCTGTGTGTTTATTTTTCCCTTTCCCCTTCTTTGGGATTGTGGTGTTGCTCCTGTGAGGTCCTTGCAGTGGCTTTCATGGCAGATCCAATCCCCACCGACAAAAATAGGAGCTGAGGGCTTCGTGCCAGCGAGGGAAAGAGGAGAAAGAGGGGATGAAATGCAAAATAAGTAAGTAAAGGCAAGTGAGCAGCACTTGATGGGCTGCACGACTTCTGCATCCAGGGATCCACATGATAATACCCACACAGTGGGTATTCATAAAGGGGAAGGTCTCAAATGGCTCGACTTTACCACCACCCTTGGGCGATGCAGGCAGTGCAATGCAATGGATGCGCACTAATTTATGCCCTTACTTGTCAATCTATGTCAATGTAAATTCTAGAGCCCATTTCCCAGTTGAATTTGGGTATCTCTGTCACTGTTGACCTATTTAAAGGTAGCACCGAGCTCTTGGCTGGGATGTGCCAAAGGGTTTAGATCCCATGATGTCCAATCTGTTCTGGTGCCAGCAGCTCCTGCAGTGATTTCAGTTGCCCAGCAGCTCCCTTGGGACTCCCAGCACCCATGGGTGCCTTTGCAAAGGGCATTGATGGGTATTCTGTGCTGGCTGAGTAATTCAGCATCTAAGGAAGTGCAACCCAGCTGATGATGTTATAGAAATGATTATTTGGGGGAAGATTTTGTTGCTGTATGAGATTTTGCTTCATGCTGCCATGGGGTTTGGTAAGTCCTGTCCTCAGTTTTAATGTTCATGCATCCTTGTCCCATAGGGAAATAAGGTTAAGAACCAAAAAAAGAGTGCTTGGTCTCATGGCACTGCCAGTATGTGCATGTGATTTTGGGGTGAATAAGCAGGGGAATGTGAACTAGGAGCAGCAAGGAGCATCCCCACAGTGTGACAGCTTTTGGGCTCCAGCAGCACCAATATTTACAGCCAGAGTGGGGGAGCTGCAGAATTGGCTGCAATTCAGGGCAGAGCAAGGAAAATGATTGGAATGAGGTTCCGGGAGCTTCATTTCTTTCCCTATGGGTAGGAAAGGGCTTATCCAAATTGCAGATTCCCTCCCTCCATGGGAAAAGACACTTGGCAGTGGAGGGCTGAGGGATCTGGAGGCAAAATCTGGGCAGTGAACACACTGAAAGTGGAAATGAGGAAGCTGTATTTAAGCAGTGAGGTTTATTAACCACTGGAGGGGCTTGCTCATGGCTGTTGTGGCTTAAATGGAACCGGGGGGGCTCTTTTGCTTCTCCTGCCCCCAAATACTTGCTGTAGCTCAAAGAAATACGTGCCTTTTAGCAGAGGGCACAGCAGCTCCTTGTGGAGATCCCATCAGCCTGCCAAGGCAGAGATGCTGACAACAAGCCTGGGATTTGCATGTGAGTTTTGGGAGAGTTTTTGAGCTGGAAACATACCTCAGTGCCCATAGGAAGCATGTTGTGATTCTATGTTTGTAGCAGTAGCAAAATGGGATTTTCCATCTTTTTCTTCCCAACCAC